TTTGTCGCCCAAAAACGCATAGCATGAAGAAAAAGACCCCAAACTTAATAAAAACAAAACTTTATCGTGAAAAAGTTTGTTATTATTGAGATTAAAGACTAAGGTATTTTTCAATTATTTTAATTTTTTTTTTCATTTGTAGCATGTTTTAAATTTAGGTTAAATCTTTTCTTTGTTTTTTGTTTTTAGGTCAAAACACAAATTAAATGCACAAGACTCTGAAGATTCTAAATCATCGGTTTTGGTAAAAAATGCGCAAAATTGTCCAAACTTTTACCTTAATTGTAAAAATACAAAACCCAATAAAACTAAGACAATATTTAATTAAAAAAGCTTTTTATGACTTTTCTGAATAACATCTACTAAGGTAATTTTTATCTGAAAGGAAAAAAAAATTTGATGAAAAATGAATTTTTACAATATTTTTTCTTTTTTTTTCTATTACACAATATGACAAAATGTTGTTATATATTTTATAATTAAGTTTCTTTATGAAACCTTATGGAAATGACATTATGTTCTCTACTTTTTAAAGATCATAAATTTGAAAGCTTATTAAAATAATCTTTTAATATTCCAAAATTGTATTTAAAATCATCTCCAACAAAAGTATGGATGCACAGATTTGAAATAGTGTCACATGAGGTAGACTTGTTTCTCTTTATAGAAGCAAGTTTTTTTTTTACTTTAGAAATTGCTTTGCATTCGTTCAGTTAACAACACAGGAAAGTTTGAAATCGATTGCATAGCAGGTCAATGTTAATTTTTTAATAAATAAAATATCTATAAAACTCCAATGACTGCCATATCACAAGTATTAATAAATAAAAAAAAAGTCTGCCTTAATAAAAAGAAATAAAATTTCATTTCATTAAGTTAACCTGTTTCAATTATGAAATTTAATGGTGTTTCATGTATTTTTTATATTCTCAGAAAAATATTTCATGACAAATAATACAACTCAATTTAAAAAAATGTTGTTACTGTTTTATTTTTACTAGTAAAATATGATTTTTTTTTCATAATTTAAATGTTATTTTTAGTGCAGAAATTTTTCCTCAAACTTAAGGTAAAAAAAAAAAATGAAAGTGATTTTTTTTTTTAATTTACTAACCAGGTTCACTTAAAATTAGAACGAATTACATCATTTCTGCGCTACCGTACGATAAATTCCCTTGACGTAAGTTGTCAATATATTGATGTACATCAATTAACGCCCCTCAACCACGCGCCATAGCAAGCACCACGGTTGGAAATATCTCTATTAAAAAAATTTCTGCTATAAAAGTAAGTAATTTTTCTTTCAAATTACATTAAGTATACTTTAATCATTCTAAATTTCCTAAGATAACAAAAGAAAAAGGTGTAGCTGAATTTTATGATTTTTGAACTAATTTTAATTTTTGTTTACAAACACGGGCAGAAATGGCCGATAAGATCGAATTTACGAAATTTTTTTGATTCGGGATAAACAAGATTTTTAAATAAAATTTTTAACATTTATAGGAAAGATTAAAAAATCTGAAAAAATATTCAGAAAATACTTTGGTCTTCCCTCTTTAATACTAATATAAACATTTACACGTTAAATTTGTTTTTAATCAATTTGGGTACCTTTTATCTCCAGGGTATACTACATTTTTTAGCGTTATATGGGACAGACCTAGTTTAAAAGTTTAATATATTTATTTCCGTTATAACAATTAGCCTCTCAAATGACTGATTTTTGTCCTTCATCCCATCAAACAAAATTCTTTTTGCCTTTCAATTTATTAATATCTCCGTCATCAGTTAATCTGACATTTTTCAAACTTTAAAGATAATGGCGCTATTACACTTTCTCCCTACTCTCGTTGCATCCTGTCATTCAGCAATGTATTACCCCAGGTATGACAGTCTGGACTGATATGTGGGCCTACTACAATGGATTTTTTTTTCTTTTTGCCGCTACATCATATAACACGTGCGTTGGCCTCGCCTTAAACTTGCCTTATGTCTAATTTCCTCTCCATATTTGAGGCAAATAAACGCAATAGATAATGCTTGAATATATGTACATTTCAATTTTAGTTTAAATTAAGAAGCTGATGATTTTATCTAATTTGATATTAATTAACTAGTAAATTTAAGTTTATTTGACGAAATTGAAGGCGTTATTTCATATTTTATAAACATGGATTTTGTTTCTCGAGGCTTATATTTTAATTTACATATAATTAACAATAACAAGCAGATCTGCTGAATGGTAGAAACGAAGGATGCGAAAGTGTAATAGCGCCAAGATAGTTCTTGTAATCCTTTCTTTTATTTATTTGTTCAGTCTTCCGTTCTTTCTTTGGATAAATATTTTCTTTAAAAAGATCGTTATTGCAGCAATTTTTTTATTCATGATTTTTTATTATAAGTTCTTACAGATCGTTTTTGTAATCATTATTTCTTACAAGTATATCTGTTATTTATTCGTTCTTTACATAAATATCGCTACTATAACAATCCTTCCATCTTTTATTCTGGAAAAATGCTTTTCTTTCATTTTTCTGGAATTATTTTCTTTCATTCTATCAGTATTTTTTTTTTTTCATTTTTCTTTCATACGTTTTTTTTTTCTTTTGTTTCCTATTTAATCATATACCTTAGAAGTTCTGGCTAAGCATCCGACAGCTCGATGCAACGGTTTGCTAGATCTCACCTGTTTCAACCGCTAGCGAGGTGCTTCTGGCCAAGTATATGGACTTTCTGTCACGTAGAGATATCTACCAAATTCCAATCCACGCGAACGACCTCGTCAAACTGACTCAGAGCCATCTCCACCCGGAGGTGAGAATAGGGAGAGATAATAACGATCCTGATTCTCCGATTCAAGCAGGTGCCGATAACAATCCGGTTATCTTTCATTCCTTTATTTATTCTTCTTATTTCATTACGTACATTTTTTGGCGCTATTACACTTTCACGCCCCCCCCCCCATGATACTGTCAACCCACGATGATTTTTGTCTTCAGTTCTTTTTTTTTAGTTTAAAGAAAACAAATACGAATAGATATCACTTTTTTTCTTAATATTTGTTTAATAATTTCTGGATTTTAATTTTAAATAATACATTTAATTTCTTTATCTTTCTAGCTTTCATTTTTAGAAACTTTCGACAGCAAAAATCTATAAGCTTTTTAAAACCATGTTTGTGAATTAAATTTAATTATTAATAATTGCAACAGTTCAAATGTTATTTTAAACTTTAAAAAAAAAACAACAGTTTTTAAAAATAAGTTTTTCATTTTATAAATTTATCTGGTTGTGATTTACTTCTTAGTATGGGGTGCGAAACGCCAATAGCGTCCATTTTTTTTTTCCTCTCTCGTTATTTTCTCTTCTTTGCCATATTTCTTCATTTTCTTCCGGATTTAATTTTTTTTCCGCCTTAATTCATATCTTTAACTGGGTTGATTTACGTTTTCTTCCCCTCCTCTTTTTATTGCTATGTCTATATGAAGCGTAATTTTTTTTTCTTTTTTTACTTTTTCATCTATTAAATACAGTATTTTCTGAAGGATGCAACCTACGCACTCGAAATCCTTAATTCAGAACCATTATCGAAACATAAAACAATATCAATCGGATTCCTCGCCATTTTACTTGAAGGATGGGATTAAACAAATGATACTGTGAAAATTCCTTAATTGCTTAACGGTGGATGCAAAATGGATGGAGGGTGGTAGAGAAGCTGAAAAATCATTGATACAAGAACACAAGCATCCGCACGCCCATTAGGGATGCATGTGTAGGAAAAAATGTCTTTTTTTAGTAAAAATGTCCATCAAATTATATCTGTTAGGTTGGTGCAAAAATAATGACGTAATAATGTCGTTTTTGACCTTAGAAAATACGTCAAAGAACGACATTATTACGTCATTATTTTTGCACCAACCTAATACATACGAATGACTCTGAATAAATAATTCTGTAATGCAACACTTAATAATTCTTTCAATGGTAAATCTTCATTATGCAAGGATTGATGAAAACATCGCAGCCTGAATCTCTAACCAAATATCAATGCTTCCTATCAGTAAGTTACCGATTTATTGATACCTCTCTATCATCGATGCAATTGAAATCGTCTGGTACAAACACATTAAAGTACAAATTCACCAAAAGGCCCAAGCTAAGGACTGGTCCATACTTGTCCTGTCACTTTCTTCGCTAGGCGTAAACACTGACCGAGTTGCTGAACATTTAACCAAAATATTTAATTTTACACTGCACAATCTTACTACAGATCATAATACCAAATTTTCTGAGGTCCAAACTAGTCCCGTATGTACATATTTTTCGGAGATAATGAAAGAATGTTTAACTTTTTCCCAGTCTTTATTTACATAACCTATTTACAATATTAAAAACGGTAGTTAGTATTAGAACTCCAATTAGCGCAATCATAATTGCGACCAAGATGCTAACTAACCGAAAAAAAATGTGGGATTTAACCAGGAAAATTAATCACGCCTTCAACTACAAAAACGTGTACGTATTTAAATAAAGACGCGAGAAAAGTCAAAAGTCAGCCATACTTACTCGAGAACCGAAATATCTGTCACTTAATAGACGATGTGCTGGGAAATGAAAGAAATAAAAATAAAATAAAAACAAATGCCAACGCGCTTAGATCTTAGTTAAAAAGATTTGGATCACGAACTGAGTGTCACACATGCTCATCTCTGAGGCCGAGTTCGTCTTGTTTTGCCGGTTGTTTGATTTTGTCTAGCAGCATATCAGCCAGTGCGTGATTTAATGCCGAAATTAGACATTTTGTACACAATGTTTTAGATAATGTCTTTAATGATAGAATTCTTACTACTTAACCCATATCTGGGAGGAGTACAGGTGGATTCATACTGTATTTGCGTGTAAGTCAATATAACTAACGAAACTCTAATTAGAACTCTGCTCGCCGATTAACAATTCCGAGCCATTATGCATTACGCCACCCACACATCCAAGCTTACTGTGCCTAGTATTCCCAAGCGGCCACTCATCTATGTACTGACCAGACTAAGTTGCTTAACTTCAGTGATCGTACGAGAACCGGAGTTTAAACCTAACATGGCCGTAAACCTATTTGTTTAGCCGGTATCTAGATGGAACACTAGATCATTTCCTTTCACACGACTCCTAGGCCCAACATTCGCCTAATTTTCGCCAAAAAGTCGTTGGTGGAGGAAGTTTTTTCCTACTTAATATCGAGTTTAAACAAATGGTTAAAGTACACAATTAGTTAGGAAGAGTAAAAACTTTTCTCTCCTTTGAGATTTCTCCTGTTACGTCGTCTAAATTGTGACTAGTATAACGTCAAGAAAGCCTAAAAACATAGAGGCGGCACCACATTGCCACAGAGATAACCTTCCCGCCCAAATTGCGGAACCATGTAACATTCAATTAGTGCGCCCAACGGGTGAAGGAGACTGAAGTGAAATAAGGCTTGTCGACCAGCTATTAAGGTTCGCTCCGTAAAAAGAACAAAACTTCCTTGACAGTTTATTCTCATAGTAGCAATAAGATGGGTTTACTGAACACAGTATATATCCACGCCGCTAGCAACACTCACCTGAGGACGCTCCAACCTTAGAACTCATTCACTCTTGCTAACTAAAGAACTGATGCCTGTCGAATCTCTTTTCTAAAGATAGTCCTGAAAAAAAAAACACACACACACATAACTCCTTTGTCCATCGGTTCAAGGCCCATTTTTAGTTTGGATGTTTCCGTCGTGAGGAAGATGTCGAAGGAAACGTTCATTTTAGAGCTATATGCAGAGAAAGGTAAACAAATAGTGACACCCTCAGAAAAGAACTGTTGTAATTTTTATTTTTATTTCAGTATTGTCCATCATTGCTCATGAGTGGGGGCTGATATACTTAATGTTTTTTTTTTCTTCCAACCACCATCACCCAAATCTGCCAAGTTCTGATGACCGTTAGCACTCGTTGAGAATTTGAAAACTTATCGATTTTTGACATCAATTTCAGCAAATTTCCAGTCAGTAAAATTTCAAGGGTTTTTAATTTTTTTTTCTAATATTGAGATGCTTTTCCTGATTGCTCGAGAGAAAAGCAGCGAACGTCTTCCTCCCAAATTATATGGAAATTTTTAAAAGAATGACCTACCAATTATTTATTTATTTATTTATTTTTTTTAAGTTTTAATTATTCATTCGAAAATGACATCAGCCTTTTCATTTGTGTATTCTCCAAACATGTCTTTAATAAAAATCTTTCTACGAACAGCAATGTCATGAATTCTCAAAATCGAACTGGAATATTTACAAGTTAAAATAATTATTAATGGCTTGTTTTCTGTCTAATCTGAAATAAAAGGTTTTATTACATTATAGAAGCATCAACAGCAAGAAAAATTGATTTTTTTTTTTTTTTTTTGCGTTATTTATTCAGTACGTTACCACTCCATAATGCATACATTTTTTGTAGTAAGTCTTCACGGATTTGCTTTATACAACTTAATAAATTTGACAATCCCGCCCAAATCATATATATACACGCCAGATATCTAAAGAGTTGGGTGTGAAATCGCGCCAAAATATTTCCAAAGATATCTAATAAAATAATATTCAGTATAGTATTGGTGGAACAATGGATAGCGGCTCGGATTGAGGAATCTGAGAGCCAAGTTCTAATTCCAGTAGAATACATTACATTCATTTAGATGCTAATACTCTTGGGAAACGTATGAATCGTCTTCCCCCCCACCCAAACTATGTGTAAATAGCAGGGTTCTATAGCCTTTGATGGCAACTGTTCTACCACAGAAAAAAAGGGCAATATACTTCGGGGGAAAAATCTGCCTCATCAGTCATGTATCGAAAGATACACGATCGCCTAAGCGTGTATCACACATGGCACATAACTGATTCATTCGGTAATGACTACGTACAGGAAATTCCATTTGAATTCAATTATTCAAGGAATTATCGAATACAAATGGAATAATTTTAATTTAAAAGAGCTAGTAACGAATTTTGCTTTTATTTCGGGAAAAAGGCCTCCATATTGGTGGTGCCTACTAAAATAGATATGACAGACAAAGTTACTTTTTAGTCTTCAACTGCTACGTGTAAACGATAGAAACTGAAAGTCAAAATAAACTTTAAAAAATAACTAAAATAAAACCCATGTCAAACCAAAATGGCCGAAGATGTGTCAAAAATTTAAACAAAGAAAAAAAATGTAACAAGTTACAAAGAAACTTTACTTTTATTTTTCTTTGTCGCAAAAATAAAAATAGTTAATGAAAAGACTAAAATCTAAAAAGGTATTAAAGAACAGAAAATTAAAGAAAATGAATGAAATAAACAAGTCTGACGTTACGTCGTAAACATTATCGAATAGAAAAAGTATATTTATCTAGTGTGAAACAGATGGATGAAAAAATATATTAGGACTTAACGGGTAGTTAAGCTCCAAAATAAAGAAAACTAAATAGAAAAATAAAAGAATTACAAAACGGAAAATATAAATAAATGTTTAATTTAAAAATGTCGATAGCAGTTCGTCACTGTATTTCAAATCCAAAAAGTTGCAAAATGGAGGTCAAACAAGGACGAAAAGAGATTGTTTACGCAGGTATTATCGGAAGTCACGTGCTCAACGCAGTTACAAGTCAATCACAAAATGGAAACTGAACGTCGTCATACTTCAATATTTATAGACTGCTGGTAATATAGCAGATCAGTCCATTGACATGTGGAAACAATAAAAAAAATTGGTAAAAAATGAATTGATTAAAAATTTACTAAAATGAATTGGTTATATATATATATATATATATATATAATCATATTCGCTCAACTCTGCATTGAGCACTCTTTTAAGAATAGTAATTGTTGGTTATCGGATTTGTTCCGTATACACCAATCATATACTTGGATATATATATATATATATATATATATATATATATATATATATATATATATATATATATATATTATTAAGAAAGAGAGATAATATTAGTGGTTAATATACACATACATATGGAATATTAGTGTTTAAGACTTTTTTTTATATATATATATATATATATATAAGAAAAAGTAAAGATAAAATAAAAATCATTTATAAAATAAATAAAAATAAAATACAAAATATAAAAATAGAACTTAAATATAATAATTGAATTTAAAAATACAAATAAATAAATCCAATAATAATATAAAATGAAAATATAACTAATAATATATATATATATATATATATATATATGTGTGTGTGTGTGTGAGAGGAAGAGAGAGCGAGAGAAGTTTATAGGTGTATCTATATAGATAAATAAGGTTCTCATTAAGTTACTGAAATTAATAAGACAGATCATACAGGTCGCGGTGATTTGAAAATGTAGGATTGTATGAAATTGTAAAGGCCAAAATAAAATTGTGCTGCGTAAATTTTCAAGTTGAAAAGAGGGTTTATATTAATTCCCCTTTCACTACGTAGACCAGAGACTCAGAAACCTGAAAGGACCTTTAGAAAAGATTATTATAGAGAGTCAGAAGTAAAGACTGTTAAAAAAAAAGAAGACAGAAACCCTGGTTTCCAACAACAGACAGCACAAGATTGGAACCACGTATTAGAATGGCTTACGGCCATATCACATTGAAACATTGGTTCTCGTACGATCACAAGTTAAGCAACGTCGGACTTGGTACTTACCTAGATGGGTGTCCGCTTGCGAATATCGGGTGCTGTAAGCTTGAATGTGCGACTGATATAATGGATAACGGCACAAAACTGGATATCAGAGAGACGATTTCCACTTCCAGTCGAGTTCCTTATAAGTTACGCGCAAATGCCATTGAGAAAGCTATGTGTCCACTATCTATCCCCTCATCAGTTATAGGTTAATTAGTACATAGTACATAATTAAGACATCACTAAATAATTATAATCTTCAAAAAATTTCTTACTATCTAAGAATATATTTTAGCTTTATATTACTTACAAGAAAGAAAAAAATCAATTTTAAATCAAGGAGTAGGACGTCAAAATCAGGTAGCGATATAAATTTAACTAATTACTTAAGATAGTAGCAACAGATAGAAAATGTGGCAAAGAAAGGCTTGCCACATCTCGCCTATGGGAGAAGGGTTGAAGGGTAGAGAATAATTCGTCACCCACAAGGGCTCAGAGACGCTTTTGAACTCTATCAAGGCTGGAGAGTGAGGTCTTGTCAGCTTCTGCCAATATGACAACAGTACTCCAGTTTTGGACTGATCTGGCTTTTGTAAATGTAGAGGATATTAGCAAGAGTTAGATACTTACTGGATCGGTACAGGGAGCCGATTATTTTACCTGTATCCTTAGCAACAGATCGTATGTACGAGTCGCACTTAAGGTCGGGTGAGAGTTTGAGACCCTTAATCTGAAAAACAAAATGACAAATAGCAAACTTAACCACAGTTCTTATGCTATTCTTAACTGACTACCTTTAAAATGATTCAAGATCATGTTCTATTATTAGTGTTATATTATTATTATTATTCTATGTACCGTGTCACTTCAGGATATTGTTGATAATGGCTCTCTCCAATTTCCTGACTTTTGTAGCTCTTCTTGAATGTTCTCTTTTTGTTGCCTCTCCTAAACCATTTTCTGCCATCCATTAATGTTCGCTAGTTAGGTTACGAGATGTTTTCCTCCGTCCTTCTTAATTTCAATATGACTTACTAGCTTATCACGTTGAAACACTAGCTCTCATCCGATCACCGAAGTTAAGCAACGTTGAACCTGGATGGGTGACCGCTCGGAATTACCAGGTTCTGTAAGCATTGATGTGCGGGTGGTATAATTGATAGAAACAAGGAATAAGACAACGGACAGACGACTTCAAATTCTAATCGAGCTCACTATATTCTGTGATATATATCTACATTTTCTCCTCCCATCTATAGGTTAATTAGTAAAAATTGAAATCCAAAAATATGTTTCGGCTTTAAATAAAATTAAAATAGTTAATAAGCTGTAAAAAAAAGAAAAAATCAATCGTTTAATGAATGGCATTTAATCTATCCTGTGAGTATAAATTTTCCAAGCACTCTTTCCTTG